ACTGCTGGTTGGGTCCGTTTGCTTTCTCCCACTTCCCTTCAGCCTGCAGACCAGCTGTAACCACAGGCTCATACGAAACACGCCTAAAGGGCGGTGAGTTTCTGCACGCTCTGGGTACAGGACAGGCTGGCAGTGAAGAGGGAGGGAGTTCCTGAAGGGAAGGAAGGGAGCTTTTCTGAGCTGGCAGTTCCTTTCTTGCTTGTCAGCCCCTCACCTGGTCGGATGGGTAGGCAGTCACAAAGGAGGAGGTTCAGGATATGGGACAGAAACCTGTAGGAAACTAAGAGTTTTTAGCTTCAAAAATCATGGAACAACTTGCATTCTAAAAAGTAATTTTTTTCTGGGAGTGAATTTTGACCCTGTCGGGTGTCTTTACGTGTGGTGTTTATTAAGAGGGCGGTGTTGCTAGTTCTGTCACCCTTACTGAACATTAATAGCTGATTGTGAAGCTGAGGCATCTCTGGAGTCCAGACAGCATCTGGGTTGTGTAACATAGCCAGTGCAGCCACCGTTTATAATGCCAAATAGTTCTGGGTAGGTGTCATAAATCAGCTGTGGTGTAGCTGCTAAACTTGCTACTCCTGTTAAGACAAAAAGCAGCTTCTTGTAGGAATAATAAGAAATTACTCCTCCTCACTCGGGAGCTGCAGCTTTAGCTGGTGGGAGCCCCTTGCGCTTAAGTGTATATCCTGCTAAACCTTTCATGTTAAAATAAGTTTAAGAATAATCTGAAGTGTAAGGGTATGTGCAGTGTAGTTCTGTAGGAAAGATAACCAAAGCTGCTTTGTATTGCAGACAATTTAGTTATTGCTCTCTAAGGACCTCTTGTCTCTGAGGGCAGCAGTAAGAGCTACCAACCTCACTCATAACGTGCCGACTGCCTGTAAATATGGAGCGGTCGTGCAGCTGCCTTTTCTCATGTTTATCTCCAGGTAGGCAGTCAGCTGGCTTCACTCCTGAGGGACGAAATAGGAGTTCCCTGAGCTTGTCTTGTAGGAGAACTGAACAAGTTAATGTTGACAGGATAATTCAGACCAGTAGTGTCTTCAGCAACAACAAGTGTGTTAGGTGTAAAGCAGTTGACTCCGAACTAGCAGAGAGGCACCGTAATGTCGAGTTCGTGCGGGATTGGTGGAGTCGTCCGTTTGACGGTTGGTTAAAGAGTAATTCCTGAAACGGACCCCAGTAACAAGGTCAGGTCTGTTGTAACTGGTCCTCTGTAAATACACGCTTCATGAATAACGTGATTCAGTGTCCTCTGTAATATTTTACTTAGGAGTAATTTGAGACAAGCCATTGGTTGAATGCTTCGTTTCTAGAACCTGTAACTTTCCAGTGATCCGGGGAGCTCCTTGGGAGCACTTAATGAGAGTGCTGCTACTTTTCCAGAATAATCAATTAAAAAAATAGTTTGGTGTGCCAAAGTACAAGGCAAGTATGGTTCCACTGTTTCAATCATGGTGTGTACTGGAAGTCTAAAATGTGCTCTTCATTTTTAAGGTGCCTCCTGATTCAGATCAGGAAGTGCCGTGCTGCAAACATGAATAGTTTGCTCTTTGCTATTTTTTTGGGGATTGAAAAACCATTAACAATTTATACACTCCCTCTGCGTCTTTTATACCTTCCTTTGGACGGGGGAGCGGGGTGATGGACCCTGCCTGTGGCTTTAAAGCTCGCCTTGTTTTCCACATACCTCTGCAGAGCTAACCGTGGGGAGTGGGTTTGCTGGAGGGTGCGCAGTCATGTATCATCGCTGCTGGCTGACTTCGTTCTAACAGCTCGCTGCCGACAACGGGCAGGAGCCTGTGCTGTCAGGTTGTCCCTTCTTCAGCTTTGTGTTGTGAGCTGTGGCTCAGTGGTTTCATCCGAGTTAACGTTAGGTTGGACATCTTTCTCTGTGCCTAGAAATTCAGTAAAAGTAAGTGCCTGGGAAGTGATGGTAGGGCCTTGTGTCCTGACTGAAGGAGGCATCGTGGCGTGTTCTCATTTCTTATTGGTAAAATCTGCTGCGGTGAAAGATTAAATGAGAACTTCTTCCTCTGTAGACCTCAGCAAATTCTGTGGGAGAAAGAGTTTGATGATGGAGAAAATACTAATCATGCCTGATGATGAAAATGTGCCTGCTGAATTTTTCAGGGACACCTTGACGTGCTAATCCACAAAGCCTGTGCTTCCGAGGTTTGATTCCTGTCCCGCTCCAGACTTCTCTCTTGAAGGTGCCGGAGTACAGGAGTGTGTGTGTCTCTGCATTTGAATTCTGAATGTTTGTGGTGTGAGATGTGCCCCGTCCATCTCAGGATTTCTTGTCCATAAAGTAAAGGCCTTGCACTAACTTTGTTTATAGCTGAAGTATCCCAAGAGAAGTTAGTGCCTTGTTCCTAATGTTGACTGTTTCTCCTTTCCTCAGATTCTGCAGAAGTGGAGATACTCCAGAAAAACATTTCTTCTAAACGTGAGAATGAAACACTAAATAGATCCCAAAATTTGACAGAAGGCTTGCAGAGTATAACCCCAACTGAAAAAGAGGCCAGCCCAACAAAAAAGGGGCCGTTCCCAACAGCAGCTAAGATCAGTTCGGTGACTGCCACAAAGCCTTCCACAGCAGAAGGGGATTCTGCGCCGTACCTCCTCTCTCGTGCGGTGACTGCTAGTCCGGTGTCGCAGACGGATGTTGATGCTTCTGAAGACACTAAAATTGAGGAAGAGGATCTTCTAACAGATTTGAAAGACACGCTGAATAGTTCACCGCCCCTCCTAAAAGAAACTCTGGAGTCAGATGGAGATGACTATAGTCCTTATGAAATGACACCAAATTCCAGGTACAACCCAGACCTTCTGGAGGTGCCTGAAGACGACGACTCTGACGCCATCGGTAATTACAATGAGGAGATCAAGACCCTTGATGAGAAGATAAAAGATGTTTCTGTCACAGGGTTGGAAGAAGAAGAAGACAGCCATTTCTTCTTTAACCTGGTCGTAGTTGCCTTCCTCGTAGCTGTTGTTTACGTCACGTATCACAATAAGAGGAAGGTGGGTGTGCCCTGCGAGGCTGGGAGGAACAGCATTGGTGTTGAAAATGAAGCTGTGCTGCTCGTACGCTCTTTTGTAAGAGGATCGTAGCTTTTTGGAGAATGAAATCTTTGACCACTGTCGTTTCGATACTGATATGCAGATCACTAATGTCATTTTTCTCTGCTCAGTGAAAGTGGACATGAATCAAACCTTTTAGATTAGAAAAATCAACTGATTGATAACATCAGGAATCAGTCGGTTCGGTTGAATGAAGGTGATTGATTTGTTGCTGCCCAGGATGCTAAGCAGCAAATTAAGGAAGGTTTAATCCCAAGTGGTGTGGGAATGTTCCTATTCTGACTGGATAATCCTTGTAACTAGTGTTCACTTTAGGGTGGCCTTTATAGATATTCTGAGGGCTTAACTAGAAACCTCTAGTAAACGCTAAACTCTTTGCAGTTTTACACAGAGAAGCCCAAAGTTAGTGTTGTCAGGTAACTGTTTCCTGAGCATGAGCTAACTCTGTATTACAAAGATAGCCTGATTAGTTTGGAAAGTTAACTTGGAGAGAAGTTCAAATAAGTGATAAAAGATGCTTTATCTTTGCTACATGAGTGAGATCCCATGTAGTATCCCATGGGTAATGGAAAAGCGCTCTGTTGATACTATTTAGCACGTAGAAACAGTTCTGGGGATGGGGAATGTGTGGGTGTGTCAATCAGCAGGGAAGCAGCGGGTGTTTGTGTGAGACAACAGTCAAACTGGTGTAGGTTCTCCTTTTTCTTTCCTGTGCCCGCTTACACCGCACCATTTCCCCTTTTGCCAGTATAGCTGCTCTGTCTAGTAAAGCGGGTTCTTCCATGATGTTGGGAAGAAACAAGGCTAAATAGGGTGAGGCTAATAGACATTTAAAAATCTAATCACTTGAGTGCTTTGATTTATCGTGTCGCCTTTTTAAGCGCTCTGCTGGTATGGCTGGAGGGGGCACCAAGCTGTGACATGGAAGCAGTTTATCAAGTTACACCGTTGCTGCTTTTGTGGCCTTTTGCTTCAGCACCAGTAACACAGTTCCTTTTAAGAAGGGTGACATGCCGGAATAGGTAGGATGAACAGCCCAGCGAGTGTCGCTGTCAGGGTAGTGTAATGGCTTGGACCTGCAGTGCTTCTCAAGCTACACAGGTATCTTTCCTGAAAGTGTTATGGGTTGAAAGGCTGAGAGAGTTGGGCTGGTTCAGCCTGGAGAAGAGAAGGCTCCGGGGAGACCTTATAGCACCTTCCAGTACCTGAAGGGGCTACAAGGAAGCTGGGGGGGACTTTTGACAAGGTCCTGTAGTGACAGGACAAGGGGTAACGGGTTTAAAGTGAAAGTGGGGAGGTTTAGATTAGATATCAGGAAGAAATTCTTCCCAGAGAGGGGGGGGAGGCACTGGGACAGGTTGCCCAGAGAAGCTGTGGATGCCCCATCCCTGGGAGTGTCCAAGGCCAGGCTGGATGAGGCTTGGAGCAACCTGGTCTAGTGGAAGGTGTCCCTGCCCATGGCAGGGGGTGGGACTGGATGGTCTTTAAGGTCTGTTCCATCCCAAACCATTCTTGGTTCTATGATGCCGTGTTTTTGCCAAGCGGGAGCAGGTGCCTTGGTGGCAAGGACGGCGTGGAAGTGGCTGACTGCTAGTGCCGTGTTTGCTAGTGGGAGTGGGATTGCCGGGATGGAGGGGCAGAACCGCGGTGCGGGTACAACTGTTAACTGGTGACCAAACTGTTTCTCCGGAGCGTTATGTAAGTTGGCTGCTTTTTCTTTCAGATCTTCCTACTGGTCCAGAGCCGAAGATGGAGGGATGGCCTGTGCTCTAGAACAGTGGAATATCATCGTTTAGATCAAAATGTTAATGAAGCAATGCCTTCCCTGAAGATAACTAACGACTACGTGTTTTGAAAGCACTGTGATTTGAGTTTGCTGAACTTCTCACTCTTTGCCTGCCTAGTCATGTAACGATATTCAGGTATTCAAAAGATGCTGCCTGCACCGAAATGAGATGTACTCTCTTGGACCGGGATGTTTTTGAGATTAAGTCTCATGCCAGATCAAGGGCATGACCCACCTGTTTACTACTTTGGTCAGGTTTTATATCAACTATAAAGATGCAGAGTTTAATAATTAGTGCTCTTTCCATTCATTAAGCATCATCTCTTCTGTCTGGAGCAGTCTTAATAGTGGTAATACAAGAAATAAGCATAAAGTATTTTAGGTCTAATAAATTAATGACTTTGGCATCACTAAATCAAATTAATCATCTCTTTGCTAATCACTTACACGGTTCATAACTCCCACTGTATTGCAAACTTAGAATGTGATTACTTTTTTCTGTGCTTAAATCCCGATGCTGCCAATCTTTCATCTTGTTCTTTTTTTCCTTCGGTTTTCTTGTTGCACAACCTGATCCTGTTTTGGGCAGAACAGCTGGCATGGCCAAGTTCGTTGTTTCTCCATGTGTTCATGCAGTAAATAACTTAAAAATAATTATGTAGAAACCATTTTATTTCAGAAGCTACGTACCGTATATTTCGTTAAAACGTTCAAGGTTGTTTGGAGCTTTGCAGCTTCTTGACTCTCCAGTTTTTTTCTGTAATGGCATTAATGACTAATTCATTACCTTTGTAATTAATGAATGGAAAACAAGCCTTGTTGAATAATCTTACTAAAATAGAGGTAGTTGACGGGCTTCCAGTACGCTGAAGCTGTCTCTTGAGTTTTGAGACAGTTGGGGAGTAGTTATGGGGTTTGCTGTATTATACATGGGAGAGGCCTGAGAATGTAAGAATAATTTATTTTGGTGTTATTCTGACCCAGGTAAGAGGCAGATGAAAGAAATGGTGTGTGGGACTGCCAGTCTGGGGCAGCACCCTCTGTTTTTTGACGAACGTTTACGCGTTAGTGTAAATCCGGTTACTGGTACCGTCGTGGGTGGGTTTTTTTACCTTGTCTTTTGTACTGTCATTATTTATGTTTTCATGAGTTGTAAAATATAAAACCTTAGGTTGCTGTACATTCTGTTTGTGATTTTAGTTTTCAGACTGATAAATATGTAAATAATGGTGGATTGGAACCCCCTAATTAATGGCTTGGTATTCAAGTAGGTATGTAACATTTTGAAAAAATCAACTTTGCAGCAGTTGGCACGCGGAGTCCGGAGATGCTGTCGCACCAGTGGAGTGCTAAAAGTTGAAACCCTGCTGCTCAACCCCTTCTGTTGGTAACCATGAGGAGTCAAGCACAGGCAAAATATCCCCAAACGCTTTTCTTGCAGTAATTTTTATCGAATTTGGACTTGTATCACTTCATATTTTGAATAAGGTTTTTAAAATAAATGACAGTAATAAGCTGGTGGTTTTTATCACGACTGTTTCACTGCTTTGACACGGCACCTCACGACAGGGATTGCTTGTGCCTGGGCTTGGACAGTTGAAAACTGTCTTTTCCCCTCCTGAGTGAATTTACTGCATGTAGGGGGTGTGTGGAGTTTTGTTTTACACGTCTGGTAAGTGGTGCGTAGGGAGATAGCCAGGCTTACGTGAAATCCAACTCCTACAGCTCACAAGTACTTTGACAAGTAGTTTTTTTACTTAAGGTTATTTTGCAAAGCTCCTCTAGGATGTTCAAATGTTGGAATTGGAGGAGTCGGACGATGTTTTCACACCCAAGAGGCTGAGTAGCTTTCTCCTGCAGTAACCTCCGTGAAGTGTGGGTGCGTAGGGAGATAGCCAGGCTTACGTGAAATCCAACTCCTACAGCTCACAAGTACTTTGACAAGTAGTTTTTTTACTTAAGGTTATTTTGCAAAGCTCCTCTAGGATGTTCAAATGTTGGAATTGGAGGAGTCGGACGATGTTTTCACACCCAAGAGGCTGAGTAGCTTTCTCCTGCAGTAACCTCCGTGAAGTGTGGGGATTGTGACAAGCAGAACGCTTGTGTTTCCTGTCAGCACAGGAGGACACGGATACCCACGTGCAAAGCATCCTTTCGGGTGTCGTCTTCTCTCCAGCCCATCGGGTGCGTGCAGCCACCGAGGCAGACGTTGGTGTTCAGCAACGATGCTTGCCAGGGAGGCTGGGATACTGCTGGAAGGATATGGAAGAGCAACATGGACCTAAATGAGTAGAAAGAAGGGATATTTTGTTGATTCCTGGAGCTGTAGGTGGGTTACCTTGTTCTATCTTGGATGTCTTCCAGAGCTCTTGGAGCACCGTTTGCCTGGCTGAACCAAACCAATCTGAGTGTTCTTCTTCCAGGCTGAGCAACAGTGTTCTCTCTGGGACTCCGTTCATTTCTTGGTGGGAAAATCTTGCATTTCCTTGCCCTTCCTCCCTCAAATTGTTTTCTGTAGGGAGAGAGACCTACAACCTTCCCCGCGTTGGCGCTGTTCTTCCAACAACTCCCCTCTAAAACCCAGCAGCTTTTGCTGGTGGAGGAATGCGCACGGCTAAATCCAGATTGCTTTTTGGGGAAAACTCAAAAGGCCTGATGTCACCTCCATTACAAAAAGTGCTGCTTTGCAGCTTGTTTTGCAGTCCCCACATTTTAAAACGCTCTGAGAACACTTGGCCTGTGGGGTTAGCATTCCTTGGGCGCGCCCGGCAGTATTTAGGCTTATGGACTGCAACTCGCTTTGGCTACTCCGCAGACATGTCCGAGTGCTCTCCTGAAGTGTCCGCTTGGCTGTGTTCTCTGAGGTCCTCTTGCACGAGGTTACCTTGGGGGAGGAGGTTGTATCTTGAGCCCTTTGCTCTCGATGGTCTGAGCAGAACTGAGTCAGGTTTTGGGGTCGTGAAGCCGTGGCGCGCACGCGTCTGTAGCGGAGTGGAGCTGTGCCTCGCTCCGAGCGCTCGGGATGAGCCGTTTGCTCTGCTCTACCTCTTGTTCACATCCTCTTTATCTCACAAGTAAGAACAAATGCTTGTAAATATTTATACAAACAGCTTTTAATAAGGCTCTTTACTGATGGTACTGAGGGCAGCTTACTCGAATGCTTTTAAATTCACAGGGAATTCACATGACTTTGAAATCCTTGAAGTTCTTCAAACAGCGGGTTTCATTTGGGGAATTGTCCAGCGGATTCTCTCCTAGGATGCTGATGTGTTTTAGGTACTTGGGGCCAGTCTTCCTGCGTGAGGCAGACAGTGGCTGTAGCAATCTGCTCCAAGACATCGCTTTTGGCCCTTACCGTAGGTCCTCGATGCGCGGTTTCCCAGCAATGCCAACAAAGAGGGAAAGGTTTCCGGTGACCCAGCTGGCAGAGGGCTCCACCAGTGCCGGGGGAGCGGGCGCGTGTCATCCGTTGGGCTGTGAAAGCCGTTCGCTGACGAGGTAATTAGGGTTGAGCTACTGTGTTTTAATTTCTTTAATTGAATTTTGCTTGTGGAAAATTGGGAGCGGGCAATCAAAAATTCATAAAGTGCTGAGATCAAATAGAAGAAAAAGGAAGCAGATTTATGTCACATCTCACCAACGAGAAATGTCTTGATGAATTTCTTTACTGAAGAAAGGAAACTTTCTCACGTTAAGGTGAATTATGACTTCCATCAATATTCTGATAAAAGGAATAAAATACTCCTGAAGAGCTTTCTGATTAAACTCCTCGAGATGAAAGTTGAAGCTCTATTTACGTAGGTTCTCGTTAGTGGTTGGGCTTTATGAAACGCGGAAAGAAGTAACGAATGGGATAGTTTAAACAAATGACACATTTCACTTTTACTATCCGGGAAATCAGGTATTTTAAAATATTTATAGTTTAATTTTCGTTTAGCACCAGTGCGTATTATTCAGCTAAGTCGACTGTCCTTGGCTGCTGCTCGGTTGTGTACAGGGCGAATGGAGGAAGGTTTTTCTGAGCAGGGTGCTCTGAGCTACGGGAAATTAATTTGCAACGCGGAGATGGAAAGTGTGATATCTCAATAAATTTAAACGCTGCAAAAATAATAGAAATGGAAAAGGGGTATTTCTGTGGCTCTAACGCAGACTGCTGTTAATAGTAGAAGGAGAAGGGAGGGTGCTTTTACAGCTGTAACTCGGGATTGGGGAATCCTTGCTTGGTTTCCAAAGGCGAAGCAGTCCAGCTGCAGGCCAGGGTGGACGAAACATCTGGCAGGGAATTTCCAAGCCATGGAAATTAGGAAACCTGGAAGGAGCCACAGTGGTTGCGACTTCACGAGCTGTTAGTGTCTGTGAAAAGCTGGGCTGGTGAGCCATGGGAGACCCGGCTGTCAGCTGGTGCTCGCTTGAGCCTCGATTTTCCCCCTAAACCCACGGCAGTGGTGCTGCCAGGGCTGGGGAGGAGGGTGGTGTGAGCCGGCAGCTGTCCCTGACACCCCGGGAGGAGGCTCTTCCCCTGGCCACGCCACGCTCCCTGCTCGGGAAGGTAAGCAGCTCCTAACGCAGCAGAACAATCCCACTTTCAATCTTTCTTCCTCCTGGGTTGGTTTTTGGTCGTTTTGGGGCACTGAGCTGGTTTTGTCGCTCGGCTGGGCCCGTGGCAGAGCTGGCTCAAGGGAATGGTTAGGACAGAGATGGGGACGTTCCCCTTCAGCAGCAAACTGTTGATTTGGTTTCTCGCAAAGCCGTCACTGAGCTGCCCTGTGCAGCCCAACGAGTGTTTTACGCTGTCGAGTCCAGGCAAGTGAGCGGTGGTCGCTGCGGTCTCAGCGTGGCTTTTGGTGCTGGGGGGTTGGCCCGCTGGGGGGGGGGGTCTTTTGCCCGAGGGGTGGAGGTTTCTTTGATTTGGGTGGCGTTTTTTTGTGGTAGTTTTTTGGAGCGAAGTCTTTCACTGAGAGGGACGGTGCTGCCCCGCTGCAATGATGGTGCCTGCATGATCCCTGGGCCACGCAGCTTCCCTCTCCTCTCCCAGATCCAAACCGAAGCTGCGTTCTGTGCTCTTAGAGGCCGAGTGGCTTTATGGCAGTGCTAAATCCTGGTGTAAGGCTGAGAGAGCAGTAATCGTCTAGGCCCTATATCCCAGCCACCACAAAGCAGCAGAACCAATAACATCATTGGAACACCTTTCCTTTTACAACCAAGTGCCCTTTCAGGAGGAGTCCCTATGCCACTTCCTATCAAACTTTTCTGTTCCAGAGTGTATGAGTGTCCCCACTGCCATAAAAAATGGTTAATGCAGAACTT